GTTTTTTTGTCAAAAAAATTGCATGCATAGCCTTATAGAGGCTTATATAGTGTTGCTGGGGGCTGGGAGGGCAAAAAAAAAAAAAACAGCTCATTTTTTACTCATTTCTGCCCTCCCCAGCCCCTGGGAGTTCTCTGAAAGCCTCCATAAGGGTATGCACAGCCATTTTTGTGAAGAGGGCGGGACTTCGGGAGGCAAAAAATACTGTATAAGAGGCACCCAGATTTTCAGCCTCTTTTTTGAGGAAAAAAGGTGCATTTTATACTCCGAAAAATACAGTAACTATTCTAAATCCTGTCTTGTTGGCATTTGTTTATAAACCTGAAAAATATGCCATTTCCTATTTGTATTTACCACACCAAAATATTAATTTACAATTATTTCAACAATGATCTCCACACCTATTCTTCATCATGTGCCTATTGTTCCTGTTCTACGGAAGGAAAAGAGCAAACAGGTGTATCTTAATTTTACAACTCCTTTAATCCAACTAAGTTTCTCAACTAAAAAGTAAATATGCCCTCTAGTCAAGCTTGACTCATGCAATATTTTTGGCAGCCTTACGGAAATGGTTTGTCACTGTCTTCTTCTGGGATGTATTTTCCCCTTCCCAGTCTAGCTAAGAGGTTGGTGATTCTCCATCCAAGTACTAATCAGATCCCATTTATTCCCAGATTAGTCAAGGTCAGCTGGGTGTTAAATGGGCAGCTGAGGAATTCTGTCTACAAGATAAATGCTTTTAAATAATTTTAGAATATTTGCTACGGGAAGTATCCTCAAAACAGATTTAAGGCTTTCAAAAGGAAATCTAATAGTATCATAATGCATAATTACAGTGGCTTTGATCTAGAAAGTTACAGCAACCAAGACTATTTGTTCCAACAGAATATTAACTAAAGTTATGAAAACTGCCTGGCAATGAATCACTGGTCCAAACTATTTTTAAGGACATCTACGCAAATGTTATTTTTAGTTTACACCAGCTTATCTGTACTGCATGCCTTTCATGTTAGCACCTTTTTAGAACACTGATAGGAACATTTATGCCAGAACAGGTTCCTAGTCCATTTCATATGGTACCTTGGCTTTTTCCAGCAATGCTCACTGCTGAACACAATTGAAAGGATATGCACTACAACTCATTCAGCTACAATACATCCTAATAGATAGAGCAACCTTTTGCTAAGTAGAAGTAATCTAATTACACTTTGTTGCATGTATCATTCATTTTTATGATGCTGATATATGTACGATAATACGGCAAGGTTTAGGATTGTGAATTTGGATTTAGAATACAGTAGATTTTAAAAATATTCGTTCCATAGCACATGAATGCGTATTTTAATTCGAGGTGTCACATTTGTGATTGGTAATATATGCAGAGGGTTTGTGGCAAAAGAGTAGACTGAAAATAGGCGTATGAATCAACATTAGAATACAGACATTGTAGCACCTTGAAAATCTGTCCTTTCTTTGAAATGTAATTTGAAATCCACAGGTGGTTGGTAAGAAAGCAGAGGGCAGAAGAATTACCCTTACAATACACATACATACACACACACACACATACACATATATATGATAATAATGTCAGTGGCCTTTAACCCAAATGAGTGCAATCCAAAAATTCACCATTAATCACAAGCAATTTGGCTACTGAAAGAATAAACTGCTTAAATTTCTTGTTGTGAAAAGTGATTTAATGTATGCGGCTTTAATGATAAAATTCATAACTGGCAGCATGGAGAACACGGGTTAATAAAAAAGCAGTCATCAGATTTAAAAACAAAACAATATAATTGGGAGAAAGTACTCACAACCTCTAGGTTAATTTTATTAGCACAATATGCTTGGCATATTAGGCTCAATAAGCATAATACAATGATGAAGGATGCTGCATATTGAAAACTCCTCACTTAACTCTAGCTTCTGCTTCTATGACAACTTACAATCTGTTTTTTAAATGATTTTTCATTTCTGAGGCTCAGCATACTTTTAAAATAAAATATTTTATATTGGGTATTTATATCAACACTGGATTCAGATAGAGTCTGTGTCTATATAATACTATTGAATTTTAAATCTACTCAAGTAAGTCATTGTTGGCTGGTGATGAAAGATTATCCTACAGGCCCCTTACTTGTGGAGTACCACAAGTTTCTATTCGCTCTCCCCTCCTTTTCAATATCCACATGAAATCAGTGGCAAGATCGTCTGCCGCTTCGGTATCAATTTGATACCATGCTGATATTAATTATAGATTAAGACCAGACCAGAGAAGTGAGACTACTGTGGTAACTTCTGTCCCAATGCCTGAAAGCTGTGTGGGTCTGACATAGGAAGGAGCCATCTCCGAACTCAATCCAACCCCAATTGAGTGTTTTGTGGGTATTTGGATTGCCCGGATCTTGGGATTTACAAACTATGACCTTGGATTGAGTTGCACTTCCTCATTCAAAGATGGTGCACAGTTTGGGAGTCTTTTTGTATTGTAACAGCTCTTGCTCAAATGGCAGCTAGGGCCAGGAAGGCTTTCGCCCAGCTTCAGTTATGCACTTTCCTAGATTGAGACAATCACTGATGCCTTGGTCACCTCACAGCTTAACTACTGTAACACGCTGTACATAAGACTGTCCTTAAGGACCACCCAGAAACTTCAGATAGTCCAGAATGCAATGGTGAAGGCAGTGATGGGCAAGGCTCTATATGCCTATGCAACACCTGTGCCTTGCTATCTGTACTTGTTGCCAGTTTATTTCTAGGTGTGATTCAAGATGTTGGTCGTTACCTGTAAAACCCTATATGGTAGGTCTTGATTACTTAAGATATTGCCTGTCTCCCATAATATCTACTCAACTGGTTTATTCTGGCAGATTGGTTCAATTTGGGATCCATCAATTAAGCAATACCATCTGTCCAGGGATCAGCAACCTTAAATACTCAAAAAGTCACAAAGATCCTAACTGGAAGTCCCCTGTTCAATTCTGGAGCCGACCGGAAGTCCGGTTCCCCCACCACAGAGTCTCCTCCTAGCATGATTTCCTTTTTCCTCTGCCAACTGGAAGTCCGGTTCCCCCCACCATAGAGTCCTAACACGGTGTCCTCTAGCACAGGAGAGGGATGAAAGAGCCACATGGGGATCCAGAGACACAGGTTGCTGACCTCTGGTATACATCCTGTCTGGAAGTGTGCTTTCTCTGTAGCAGTGCCTGCCCTCTGGAATGAGCCTCACCCATATCAAAATTTGAACATCTCCCACCCTTTAACACCATTTTTTGCCCAAGCTTTGGGAGAGCCATCCAGTACCCCTTTCTCCTTCTCTGTTCCCTTCTGTTTGTTATCTGTGTTATTTACCATTGTTGTTCTTTTGCATTGTTTTTGTATTTTTGCATTTCTTTTTTGTTTCCAAATGTTTTAATAATTGAAAACTGCTCAGAGTGGCTGGGAGTCATGCCACTTGTGGAATATAAATTTAATAAATAAACATCAGACAACTGAATTTCATTTACTCAACAACTACTTTAGCTGTACCTGCTTAACTCAAAAACCTTTTATTTGTTTTACATAGAATACAGATATTTTGCCATACCTCATCCAACAGCCTTCTAAAAAGAAATAATTAAACATATTTTAATCTGTCTCTAAATGTTTATATGCCATAATGCTCAATATTCTCAGCCTGATTTCACCCTCTTATTGTTTCCACAATTTTCTCCCAATTGTTAGGTCTTTCCTCTCCAATTTTTTCCCTTTGGGTTTTTCTTTTCAGCCTCTAAGTAAGGGTATACAAAATATTTCAATTTTGAAACAGCTGTTCTGGATTTGTAATGGGTTGTTCCAACCATCCCAGAAACATTTCAAAACAAGTATTTGATCTGAATTCAAAAGAGGTCTCAAACACTCCCCAAAATAGTTGGAACAACTTGAGCTACAAGAGCTTGTGCCCAAAACACTTCAAACTCAAAGCGTTTCACACACATCTAGCTACTATCCAGGGACCTATTCAAATTCCATCTCTGCTTGCCTTCTAGATTCAAGCTCTCCAGCTTGCTCTCCCATTTTCCTTTTTTTTTTTAAAAAAGCAACATAACAGCATCCTTTAAGGTAGATTATATAGATTCTGATAGATTCTTTTCTTGTTCAACTACTGTGGCAGAAAACGTATTAACATGATAATGGGGATTAATCCAGCTCAAGTTAAGCTTTTTAAAAAATTATGTTCAAGGGAAAAGTTAGCCACGTGCTTAAATGCATCGCCCCATAATTCAAAAATGTTTAAATTTCAAAAGAACATGCCCTATAAATCTGTGTAACATATGAGGACTTACAAGGTATCCACTTTATCTTTCACAATTCTAAAAGCTTTAATGCATGCACGAACACTTTTACCAGTTAATTATTTTAGGGAATAGTCCTTGCTGTGTAAGCAGTCTGACCTAAACAGGAATCAGCCCTCAGGATTAAAATCTCTTTATAAGAACAATTAAAAGAAAAAAAAAGAAGCTACTTAGAAGTCAGTTCAAAGGGGTTTACTTCTGAATAAGGATTGTGCTACTGGTGTTAATTATTATAACACAATTTTTTTTATAAAAAAGCAGATTAATAAACATAGCCCAAATACCACAGTATTTTAATCATACCTGGAAAGCATCTCTGTCCCTCAAGCGGGTTCCACTTTTCAGAATTTCTGCAACTCTTGTTATTATGATCAGCTACCAAATCAGGTTAATAATAGAAATGATCCACATTCATCCAGAACCACAAGACTGTCAGGTGACAGCTTGAGAAGTCTGAATTTAACGAAAACACAAGCCGTTTCCACGCTGTAGCACAAAAAGGAAAAAAAAAAAGAGGAGGCAACCCCACAGATACAGAAGGAAGCTTCTCTCGGAGTCAGGATTCCCCCAAAGAAGAGAGATAGGAAAAAGTCAGCAGCAGGGATTCCTGAGAGGGAAAGCCCTGAAGAAAAATCTGGCCATTCACAGACAGATGCTGCTCTGTATTTTCACGATGGACAGCCTGCCTTTCCATCCTGTGGGTTGCTTCAGAACGTGGGTTACAGCCACCACGATTGTAGTATACCCCACCTCCTTTGTCTCCTCCTGGGAAGTCTGACTGCAGAAGCCCAATCTCACTCATCAGCAGGCTAAGTGCCCCTCGGCAGCCAAGGCTGACCGCAAAGGTCCATTTAATCTCTTCTCCTCCTTTAGGGAAACCAAGACAGGCAGAGCCTCGTGATAAGGCTCCTTGCCGGCGGGGCGGTGTTTGTGTGTGTGTGTGACAATCCTGCGCCTCTCCAATCTGGGGTAGGTCAGAAAGGCAGAGTGAGTGGTGGGAGGAAGGCAACAAAGCAGCCCCCCTCCCTTCCTCTCTACTCATTTCCTACATTCTTGGAAGCTGCAAGATGCCGGGGACCAACCCCCTTGCTTACAAGCTCAGCCTGGGAGTGGAAAAGCCACCCTAACAGCCATCACATGACCCAGAGCTGTCAGTAGATGCTACCTGGATCTGCAACGAGGCCGCCAGCCAATCCCAGCTCCGCCTTGCTTGCATACATGCATGTATATTTCAGCAGGAAAATAAAGCGATTACTGTTTAACCATGCAGGGCCCTCATCTGAGTGCCTGATTTATTATTTAGCACAAGCCAGGGCATTAAGCTTCCCATGATGCTTTTTTTCTCACCCTGCTTGCTCATCAGGGAAGAACTCCAGTAAGTATTAACTTAAAGAAGATATTGTTTTCTCCCTCTCCCCCTCCCTCCCCCCTTTCCTTCTTTTCCTCTCTCCTTCCCTCCCTCCCTTTCCTTCTCCCCTCTTCTTCCCTCTCTACACACACACGCACACATGCACACACACACACACACCCTGAAAGCTTCTTCTCCAAGCTCGGATCTTCTGTAAGAACAAAGCAGGCACTGTTGGCTCTGTAAAGGTTCCTTAATGTTTCCAGCAAAAAGGCCCCAGTTTCAAAGACTTCTGCACACCAATGAGTTCCTAGCTGTAAACAAGGTTTTATAACCGATCTTTGGGGCAGCACAGGCTACGGTGAAAGCAAACCGTCAAAGGCACTCATAATCCTCTGTGAGAGTGTTCCTACTTCAGTGTGGGATAGTGATAAAGGTTCTTGACTAAACCAGGCTGGACCAGATTCCCCCCCACCCTTGATCACAAAAGCTCTCTGCCTGTGACTATGACTCAAACTGTCTCTCAACCCAGCTCAACCCTACCTCACAAGGTTGTTTCCAGGAAAATTTACAAGAATGAATGCTATGTACACACCCTTGGGTTCCTGACAATAAGGCAGGGTAGAAGCCCTACAAAATAAACAGACTCAATGTGAAACTCTACTCAAAAGCAGGTCCAACTGAGTTGAATGGGGCTTACTCCTGAGTAAGAATGTGCAGTCCTGCAGCCCCCTCAATATTTCCCAAATGATTTTCATATAATTTTATTTGTGTTTTAAATCCAAAGGACAATTCTAAGTAAAAAAGATGAATGAAAATAAAATGCAAGGGTTTTAAATGGGTCTGTACATTTGAAGCCACTTTTTAAAAAATCATTAAAAGATTACATGCTATATTATTTTTATTAGAAATTGTGAATTCAGACTAATTTCAACAAATATTAAAATAAATAACATCAACTTCAGAGCATCATTAATCTTGTTTCTTGTGTAAATTCAATTATTTGACACCAGGTAACATTTTCATCATGTTTTCCTTTGGAAAATTTCTGAATTTTCTATGAGAAGCCTTTCTTAATTTTCTACAATGTATTTAATTTTATACAACATATATTGTATACAACCAGTGTTTTTCTCAATAGAAAGTCAGCATAGCTGGATTAGGTCATAAGCAGAATTCTGACATTGACAGATTCCACTTAAATAATTTCCTAAATCATACCATGAATTCCATGGAAGAACATCACACACACACATACACACACACACACGCAAGCACATGTAGACACGTAGTAGCATGAGTAGTATTAACTACTCATATGCCAATCCTGAAATACTCTTTTTCAGCAAGATATGGCCATGCTGCTGTCCAGTTTTGTTATTAAGATTTGACTGTAGGCTCACAACAGGTACAGACTGATTTTGGGGATCAGAATCTAAAATCTTGATATTCTGATTTTAAAGTTTTAGAAATGTTTAAAATTGCTTTTCTTTTATTCTACCTGCTGGATTTTTTTGTGGATGTGTATGAAAGAGAGAAAAAGGCAGAGGTTGAGAAAGAAAGGTAACAATTTTCTCTAAGCATGCACAGAGAAATAGCTCACTTCATAAAGCTGATATTGGTTCTGATGAATACATTGAAGAATTATGTTTGAAAGGAAAGTCATCTTCTTTGTTTATTCAAATACCCCTTGAGGGCTGCACCAGGGTTGTTTTGACTTGGGGGGTGGGGAAGGTGAGCATGGCCATTATGGGCATGGCCAGTGGTGGGTTTCAAAATTTGTTAGAACCTATTCTGTAGGTGTGGCCTGTTTTGTGGGAGTGGCTTGGCGGTCATGAGACCGAGTGGGCGTGGCCAAGTTGGAAAATGTGATGAAACTCACTTCCAATGCTCTTGCTTAGCAACCAAAATTTTGGGCTTAATTGTGATCATAAGTTATCTTTCTCTTTCTTTCTTTCTTTCTTTCTTTCTTTCTTTCTTTCTTTCTTTCTTCTTTCTTGTATGTCTCCCTCTTTCTTTCTTTCCTTCCTTTCTCTTCCTCTCTTCCTTCCTTCTTTCTTGTCTCTCTCTCCAACTTTCTTTCCTTCCTTCCTTTATTTTTCTTCCTTTCTTTCTTGTTTCTCTCCCCCACTTTCTTTCTTTCTCTTCCTTCCTTCTTTCTTGTCTCTCTCTCTCTCCAACTTTCTTTCTTTCTCATTCTCTCTCTCTCTCTCTCTCTCTCTCTCTCTCTCACACACACACACACACACACACACACACACCATTTCCCTATGTCTGCCACTGACAGCTCTCAAAGAGAAGGAAGTGTAAGGACTACTGCCTTGGGAAGTGGTTGGACTAGATTATCTCCATGTTCCCTTGCATCCCTCTATGTTCTCTGTCCTATTTAATCACAAATAGCCCCATTCACTTTGAAGTTGGTCGCAAACTCCACTCATCCCAGGTGCACCCTGGTCCCACCCACAGATGTGAGCTGTGGGGCGGGGGAAAGGGAAGAGTCTGTGGCTCCATGTCTCTCAATCTTCTTCCCTGCTTCAGTTCTGCGCATCCAGCACAACTGACTGCTCCACCTCTCCCAGGGCTTTGCCTTTCTCTGGCGGGCAGGCAGGGGCTGCGCCGGGGTCATTGCCCTGGAGCTGCGGGCGAAGGAGCGGCCGGTGCCCGGGTCAGCCAAGATTGGGGGGACTTGGCTCCCCCCATGCCCCGACTCTGGGTGCCAAACATTTGGTTCTGCCCCCATGGGCTTCAGGCACTAAAGAAGCCAGGCAAGATTGCACAGGTGCTCGCTGCCCTGCCTGGCTCCCATGACGGAGGGCGAGAGAGAAGCCCTGGCTGGAATGAGATCCAGTGTGGTCCCCGGCCCTTCCCCAGAGGATCTTGCGACAGGGCGGAACCCTCCTCCAACCACGCTGTTTTTGGGGGGCGCAGAGCCCTGGGGGAACCTGGTGAACAGGCAAGTCCCTCTGCTCCTGTTCCTTCCTTGGCTGTGGAAGAAGCCCGTGCTTCCTTATTTTTGACAGCCGCCTCGTTTCCAATTGGGGGAATCCATGCAGAGGGAGGAAAAACATGGATTCCTTCCCCCTACCCCAATTGGAAACCAGACGGCTGTCAAAGAGAAGGGAGCATGCCCTGCGTGGCTTCTTCCAACAGCCGAAGAATGAACAGGAGGTAAGTTCAGCTATTGGAAAAGCCCACGTGGCATGTGCACCCTTCTCTTTGACAGCCACCTCGTTTCCAATTGGGGAGGGGTAATCCATGCAGAGGGAGGAAAAACATAGATTTCTTCCCCCCCCCCATTGAAAACCAGGCGGCTTTCAAATAGAAGGAGTGCATGCCACATGGACTTCTCCCAATTCTCCATTCTGGCAAAGGAAGTGGGTGGGTGGACCAAGCCTGGTGTGGACAGGAGGGGTGACCTGGCAGGCGTGGGGAGCAAGCAAGGGAGCAGGCCAGGGGAGGGACCATTCCGGTACGGGGCCTCCGGAAGAATGGGTACGTGAAGACACACTAAATTTCACGAATGGGTACAGGCGTATCAGTGCGTACTGGCTGAAACCCACCCTGGGCATGGCCAGCTCGACATCACTTATGTCAGGGACACCTCTGGTGGTTCAGGTGGGAATGGGAGGTTCACTTTTGCTAGTTTGTTTTGCTAGCATCTGCCAGTGAAAACGGAGCTCAGGGGCTCAGTGCGAGCCCCCGGGCTCCATTTTTGGCTGTGACAGCATCCTGCAGCCCTCTGCCAGCGAAAAGGGCCACTGTGCGCAGCCCTCCCGATCTCCATTTTCTCTGGCAGAGGCACTGTGGGCCAGTCCTTCTCTGTTTGGAAACAGCGGTCTCATGGGCCAGATTTAAGCACCTCACGGGTCGTAAGTTGACATCCCTGCCCTAAACGATATATATATTAATTCAGCGAATAAAAGCTGGAATTACACAATCTTCATAAATAAAACCCACTTAACTCCTTAAAATATTTAGCTTTTTTGATTATAAAAAGATGTTAAACCCTTTAACCAAGTAAACTGGATTGGCTGTTTCCTTCTAATATGTACAAGTGCATCCAAGTTTTAAATGAGGTTCAGATGTTCAAATGAATACACATAAAAACCTTTACCTTTGACTAGATATTCTTAAAAGGGAACACACAAAGAACATATATTCAAACAGTGATGGGATACAAAAAAAAATATTACTGGTTCTGTGGGCATGGCATGGCTTGGTGGGCGTGGCTTGGTGGGCATGGCAGGGGAAGGATACTGTAAAATCTTCATTCTCTCCCCACCCCAGGGGAAGGTTACTGCAAAATCCCCATTCCCTCCCAATCAGCTGGGACTTGGGAGACAGAGAATAGATGGGGGCGGGGCAAGTCAGAGGTGGTATTTACTGGTTCTCCAAACTACTCAAAATTTCCGCTACCAGTTCTCCAGAACTGGTCAGAATCTGCTGAATATCACCTCTGCATTTAAACACCCCTATTACTAACATGAAGTTATGTTACATGCAGGTATATGTATATCATTTTTTCTTAGTGTAGTCAAATGAGAATGCTATCCCTGGAGCTATGTCGTGGTGAAAGGTTAGTGAGCCTAACATATTACAATCAT